TCACTTTTCCAGTGGGCTTCAATTAGCATCAAGGAGACTGAGAGAGGCCCTCTTTCTGTTGTTCACTTCTCCTCTATCTTCTGGAGCTCAGGACAACAACCTTTATGACCCCCTGTGCCTCTGTAATGTGGAACCAGGTACCTGCACAGCCAGGAGGCCAGAGGCAGGGGTGGGTGGTGGTGGTGCTGCAGGCACCTGCATGGCTAAGCTGGTCACTGGGAGGGAGGGCATGGGCTGGAGGGAGCCCCACTCCATGCAGCTGAGGTCCTCACCTTCCTCTTGCTGGTTGCTGGGAGGCGGGCTTTGGTCTAATTTCTTGGCCATGTCAGAACCTACATGGCCTCCATTTACCTGGTCCAGAAACTCCCCATCTGAAGCTACTTGGGTTTGGATCCTGGAGTTGATTTGGTAGGAAACCATTGCCAGAACTCTTAGCCTTCAGTAGAATTCCATGGAGTTACCAGTCCTTGTGCTGCCTTTCCAAAAGGAAATCTTAAAACACAATATATTTCTGTGAATTATAACACATGTATAAATTTGTGTAATCATTCCTTTGCTAGGATATAGAATAGTTCTATTACCTGAACCAATCACCTTGTGTTATTCCTTTAAAATGACACCCGAGTCCTAACTGTAACCACTTGAAAGTACAGATTTGTTTTCCATTTCTATAGTTGTGGGGTTTTTTTCCTTTTTTGAAAATTTCATATAAATGGGATTTCACAATTACGTAATCTTTTGAAATTAACTTCTTTCACTCAAGATAATGCCTTTGACACTGCCTGCTGCTCAGGCCCAAGGACCCAAGTTCGATCCTCGGTACCAAAAAAAAAAGGTAATGCCTTTGAAATTCACCCACGTTGTTTATGCCTCAACAGTTTGCTCCTTTTCATTGTTCTTTAATCGTTTTTTAATTGTTCCATTCCATTGTGTGGAGGTAGCAAAAGTTTTAGCTACCCAGTGAGCCACATTTGGCTTATTACCAATTTTTTATGATTGTCAATCAAACTGCTATAAATATTTATCTGCAAGTTGTTGGTAAACATAGCTTTCCTTTTCCTAAGGTAATATCCAGGGGTAGAATGGCTGGCTTTTAGTGTAAGTGCATGTTTAACTTGATAAGAGTCTGTCCAGCCTCTTTCCAGAGCGACTGTACCAGTCTGCGTGCCAGGTAACCTGAGTCCTAACCATCATTTGGTATTGTCAGTATTTTTATTTTAGTCATTCTTATTTGATGAACCCAAAGTATGAATAAATTAAAAAGCAAAATAAAAGACAGATACTAGGAAAGAGAGAGATACAGTAGATCTTTTGCAAATGCGAAAGGGATCAAGACATGCAAGGATGGAGAGAGAGGGAAGGGGTAGGGTGTCTGCAAAGAATTAAGATGTGTTATGTACACGCACCAACTCCCTGCAGTGAGTGTTACCATTATGCACTGCAAACGTGCACTAATAAAATTAAAATTAAAAACTTAGCTGTATCAGCCAGTGTTTACTAGAGAAACAGATATAACATGAGATATACAAATATATAAAAATTTACAAGAGGGCTGTGGATTTAGCTCAGTGGTTCTGCTACCTGCCTTACAATCGCAAGGTCCTGAGTTTGATTCCTGGTACAAAAAAAAATTTTACAAGATTGGCTTACCATGACCACCCACTGGGTCGGATGAGGAAGAGTGCAGAGGGTCTATGTGCACACTAGAGACCCAGTCCAGTTGAAGTTCTGGAGCTCACTACAGTGTCCCCTGGTGGTCCGTATCAGGAGGCTGATGAGTCCCATCAGCGATGGTAAACTGAAGAGTCTACACCGGAAGCTGAAGGGTCTGCACCGGAAGCCAGAAGATGACGTCCAAGGTGAAGGTGAAGACTGGAGCTTCTCGGAAGAAACAGAAGCAGATCCGTCGTTCATTTCCCCTTTATACTGTCCAGCGGACAAGCCGCCCTAGGGCCGGCCTTCCACACTCTAGGGAGTGGAATTGCGCAGCCACTTTAGTTGAACTTCTCTTAGTGAAGTTGACGCAATCAAACAGCCATCACATTAGTTACTCTGAAAAGTGAGGCGCGGTCTCATCGTATTTTTAATGTGAATTTTCATAATGGTTGAGGAAGTTGAACATAGTTTTGTGTGTTTTGCCATTTTTCTTATCTTTATTGATGAAGTCTCTGTTCATTTTACTTTTTTCTTAAAAACTGAGTTGTCTAATTTTTTTACTGTTTGGGGAATCCTTTGTGTATTCTTGGATATAAGTTCTTTGTTAAATATGTCACTTGCAAACCTTTTCTTCCAACCCATTGCTTGTCTTTTAAGCCCCTTAAAAGTGACTTGATCTCAGCAAATTTAAAACATTTTAATAAAAACCAATTTATCATTTTTTCCTTTTTATGGACAGTGCTTTTGATGTCATGTTGAAAAACTCTGCTTATCTCCAGGCAAGAAGGCTTTTCCTGGTCTTCTTCTGGCAATATTATAGATTTCCATTTTATTTAGATTGATCATCTATTTTAGGTAATTTTTGGATGACATGAGAGGTAAGGTTTAGGCTAGAGTTTATTTATTTACTTGTTTTGCTTATGGATGTCTCATTGTTCCAAGATCATTTATTTGTTAAAAAGACTTTTTCTTCTTTTACATTGCTTTTTATTTTTGTGGTACTGGGGATGGAGCCCAGGGTCTCATGAATTCTAGGCAAGTCTTTGGCCAGTAAACTATATTCTTTTTTATTTTATTTTGAGTGCGGTCTCACTAAGTTGCTCTGGCTAGCTTCAAACTTGTGATCCTCCTGCCTCAGCCTCTGAGTACCTGGGATTACAAGTATGTGTTACCTCACCTGGCTGCTTTTGTACTTTTGTCAAAACCGTCTGTATTTGTATGGATCTATGTCTGGATTCACCATCATTTTTCTCATCAATGTGTGTGTCTGTTCTTTCACAAATACCTTGCCCTCTTAATTATTATAACCTTGTAGTAAGGCTTAAAATTCTGTAGCCTAATTCTTATGTCTTTTGTCTTACTTTTCAAAATTATTTTAGCTCTTTTGCTTTGCCATACAAAGTTTAAAGTCAGTTTGTCCACATGTTCAAAAAACCCAGCTGGGATTTTTTATTAGAATTGAGTTAAACTTATGGAACAATTTGGGGAGAATTGTCATCTTTACTACTGTAAATTATCTAGTGTGTGAACATAATATGTCCCTCTGTTTAGGTTTTCTCTAATTTATTTTATCAGCACTTTGTTGTTTCCACTTCAGGAATCCCGTGGATGTTAAAGTTTATTCTTAAGCATTTCATTTTTTGGAGTTATTGTAAATGATATTTAAAAATTAGTTTTAATTTTACATTACTGGTATAATCAAATAGGATTAGTATTTGAGTACTGACCTTGATTCTGTGATACACTTGTCTTAGTTTTAGGAGTTTTCATGTATTTCTTGAGTTTTTCCCTTTCATAGAGTCTGTATTTCAACTCTGAGCGAGGCAGTTTTATTTATTCCTTTCCAGGTTATATACATATTTTTTCTTAGATTAATGCATAGGCTGAGACTTCCAATAAATGTTGAATAGGAGTAGTAAGAGTGAAAATCCTTGCCCATTTTTTTTTTTGTCTAAGTAGGAAAGCAATCAATCTCTCACCATGGAGTATGATTTTGACTATAGGTTGCTAAACATCCTGTTAGAAGGCTGAGGAAATCTCTCCTTTTCCTGTTTGTTGATTTTTAAAAATCATGAATAGATGTTAAATTCTGTCAAGTGCTTTTCTACATCAGCTTGCATGATCATTTTAAACCCCATTAGATAATTAATGCAATAGATCACATTGATTTTCCAGTATTGAGCCAGCCTGGCATTGCCTGCACAAACCCCCCTGCATCATGGTACATTATTCTTTTTATACAACACTGCATTCATTTTGCTAACTCTTCTTGCAGAATTTTGCCTCTTTCTCCTTGAGGAGTATTAGCCCCTAGCCTTCTTTTGTATTGTTTTATGTGGTTTTATTATCAGAGTGATGCTGACCTCCTAAAATGTGTTGGGAAGGGTTCCTTCTATTTTATGAAGGAAATGGAGATGGAGTTTGATGGAATCAACCAGTGAAATCCAGGCTTGGAGATTTCTGTTTTGAAGATTTTAAAAAATTGAACTAATTAAATTTCGTTTATAGTTACAGGACTTTTAAACCTGTCTGTTTCATCTCAGTGAACTTTGATATTTCAGTTTTTGAGGGATTGCTCTGGTTTGCAGAAGTCAGCAAACTTATGTACATAGAATTCTTCAAATGCACTCATTTTCCCCTCTGTATTGGGGATTGAATCAGGATCTCCGCTCTGAGCTGTATCATCAGCTGCTTTTGATTTGTTTTTTGAAACAGGGTCTTGCTAAGTCATGAAGGTGTCAAGCTGGCCTTGGAGTTGTAATCCTGCCTCAGCCTTCTAGAATGCTGGGATTACAGGCATGCACCATCACATCTGGCCTCATTTTCTATTTAATGGCCATGAGGATGTTGTTAGTAATAGCTCTTCTTTTCTTCCTGTTATTGTTGATTTGTACCTTTTCTCTGTCTCTTTTTCTTTGTTACTTTGGGTAGAATTTGGCTAATATTATTGCAAATGATCTTGGATTCATTTATTTTCTTTATCAGTTTTCTGTTTTCAATTTCAATAATCTGCTGCTACTTTTTCCTCATTCAGCTTTGCTTTCTAATGTCTTAAGGTAGAGGTTTGTATTTGTTTGTGATCTTTCTTCTTCCTTGATCTTTCCTTTTAACATAGCATTCATAGCTGCAAGTCTCTCTAAGCACTGTTCTAAGTATGTCACACACCTTTTGATATATTGTATTTTCATTTTCATTCAGCTCAAAATATGTTCTAATTTTCAAAAGAAAGTGACTTCCTTTTGACCCATGGATTATTTAGAAGTTGTTTAATTTGTAAATAATAATTTCATAGTGTGTAGAGATTTACTTGGTATATTTCTATAATTAATTTCTAGTTTGATTCAATTATGATCTGAAGACACACTTTGTATTATTTAAGATTGTTAAATTTTGTTTTGTAAACCAAGGTATTTTCTATCTTGCTAAATGTTCCACCCGACTTGAATAGAAGTCTTTTCTGCTGCAGTTGGATAGACAGTTAGATCACAATTAGCTTTTGGTTCTACATCCTTGATGATCTTCCATCTCACAGTTCTATCTACTACTAACAGAATTCCCCAAGGATAATTATGAATTGATCTGTTTCTCATTTCAGTTTTGCCACTGTTCGCTCAACTCTTTCATCTTCTTGATGAATTAGCCCTTTTTTAGTATTTCATGTCTTTCTGGTGCATATTTCAACTTGATTTTTTCATCAAGAAAAATAGGGCTACAGCATCATGGATCTTTCTAGCAGACCTAGTTATAATTGTGCTTTTTCTCTAACAGTAACTATAAAGGTCTTAACTTACAATGTTAAACATAGCAAAGTTGAGCTTGTCACAGAGAAACCATAGTTCAGCGAAGAACAAAGAGGTTTCTGCTTTGTCTCTTGAACTCGATGGTCCACATGCTCTGTTTTGAAAGGCTTCGTTTCAGTGTATGGATTCTGAACGGAGGAAGACTCCTCCAAGTTCTCCTCCATCTCTGCCTCTGAGAAAACAAGGTCAGTTTCCAGCAGAGAGAGGGCACGCGCCTGTGACACAGAGGCTAAAGAAGATGAACAGGGTATGAGGAAACTCACGGCAGTGAGAGCTACCCAGTCTTTAAAGATACCGTTCTCTCTCCTGTGCAGCCTTAGGTTCTGACCAGTTGGGCCAGGGAGCTTCTGACAGACTCACGGCCTGGTGAGAGGTGGCAAATACAACAGTCTGCAGCCTGTTCCACTTAAGTCAAGACACAACAGAAGAGATGAAAGTGCTGCTGTCTCTGAATCTGACTCCTTTTTCTCAATCTGCCTCTGAAGCAGGAAATGATGATTCTGGAGAGCAATGTGGAGAAGCAAGGTGTTAGGAGGGTAGAGGAAAGGACAGAAGTCCCTGAAAATATTTCTCTTGCTTTTTCTTATGCATGCCAAGTCAATTATGCTTCAACTAAAATAATAGGTATTCACCGAATTGACAACCACCCTGAAATCCATTCTCAGCATTAAACTACCATAGATTAACTGCTTAAATTTGGGCTTTAGTGTATAGCATCAGCAGAGCTCCTGAGTGAATTATGGACTTGTATTCACTCCAGAACAATCTATTACCCGCCTCATAACAGAAATGCCATTTATTGCAATTTGTGCAAACTATAAATCAATACATTATTACTTAGAAGCATGTGAGCTGTGGCTAGATGGCACACTCTTGCATTTGGTAATGGCGTGTGTGTGTGTGTGTGTGTGTGTGTGTGTGTGTGTGTTAGAGCTTAGGGGAGGAATAGATAAAGATTTTTTTCTAGTCTCCATTTGAGCACTTGCCAAACTTCTCAGGAGACTCAAGGGTGGCTGCTGTCTCCCATGTTGCAGAGAGGCTTATGGTCTCCCATGCTATAACCTCTGCATGGGATTTTCTCTTGGAAGAGCTGATTGAGTGCAATTTAGAGGGTGTTAGAACCCTTTTGCAGCAGTCCCAACTCTGGCCCTGGAACCCCAAGAGGTAGCACAGACTTTCGGACAGCGCCGGTGCTCATGCCAAACCTCAAGCCATTCCAATCAAAACTTGGGGGTGACACACAGATGCCAGAACTTTAAAGAAGCCATCTAGGCAATGTTAATGTGCAGCCTGGGTTAATTATCTCTGCTCTGCAAAATAAGAAGAGGAAGAAAAGAGGAAATGGAAAGGGAGTATAGTGATAGGTTGTAATTTTCTCAAATCAAAGTAGAAACGCATCCTGAGGATTTGAGATGCAAGTAAATCTGTGGGGTGCTGCTTAGAGTATTTCTGGGCCCACTCTGAGAAATACAAAAAAGATAATTTAACTGCAGCTGACATAATGTAAATGCTTAATAACTCCTTGCTTTTCTCCCTTAAAAATACAGATAACCGATAGTGACATGATTTCAATAATAATCACAGCGCAGCTTTTCTTGGGTCCTTCGTGCAGGGGCCCTGGCCTTTTTCCATCATGGTGCCCCAAGGAAGTGTACTTGGACTGCACACTGCAGCCGAGAGCCCAGGCTGCCCCGCTGTGTGAGGCTCAGGGCCTGGGGCAGGGAGCTAATGTGGCTCCTTGTCCCTGGGAGACTGGAGATTTTGCAAACGTTTCCAGGCCTCTCTCCACTACCGTGTGCCTCTCAAGGTGGTTTGCACTGTCCACACGGCACCAAGGTGACAGGAAGCCAACACACGGCTGTCAGCACCATAAGGTAATAAAAAGCGACAATTTGTCGAGTGAGTATTATGTGCTGCCTGCTTTGTCACACCATATGTCAGCTCCTTTGATTATTCTTACCATTCTGTAAGGCAGTCATATTTATCTCCATTTCCTTTTGCAGACGAAGAACCTGAGAAACAAGGACATCAGTGATTCGCCACATCCACACCCCTCACCATGACTCTGCCATCCCACGGCCCTTACAGGATCTCTGACTACTTACTCTCCATTTCCAGTCATTTCTTCCTGGATTTGCCAGGGGAAGAGACCTGCTCTAGCTTGTCAATATGCGGCTCCCTCCTCCTTTTCATTCATGATTCAGATCCTGTCTCCTCTTGTGACCTTTCCTGACCACCACGTTGGTTTTTCTCTGCCCTGGACCTTGGAATCCTGTGGCATCTGCTTTGCTGCACTGATGTTTTCTGGAGCATGTGGTAAGTACACCCATGTGTGTGTGTGTGTATGTGTGTGTGTGTGTGTGTGATTATGTGTGTGCTTCATTTTCAAATAAAGCCTCTAAGCACCTTGACAGGAAGCCTATGTCTTATGCATCTGTCCATTTCTCCATGGACACCTTAATCATAAAAAAGTTTAACAGATACTGCTAATTAATTGATTTGTAGTTTTCAACAATTATTTCTCCTTGAAGAATGGTACAGAACAGGGTGGCAATGTAGAGGTAGAAAACATGACAAGTTAGGATAAGACAGATATGGATTTGAGTTCTGGCTCTGCTATTTAAAAGCTATGTTTCAATGAAGAAGTCATATAGTACTCAGAGCCTTTTTTTGCTCATCTGTAAAGTGGGTATCATAGTGTTACCGTGCTGAATAAGCATGAAGATCAATCCATAAAATAGCACGGTGTCTGAAACTTGTCCTAGGAAATGGTAGCTCTTTAGTAACTATTATCATGTATAAGAATTGGTTGTCATTTGAATATCTTCTAATTTAACTTTTACGAGGGAAAGGTCAGGCCAGGCTCTGTGCAAGTGAGCTGTCTCTGTACACTTATGCTTACTTTCAGGTAGTGGGGAAGTATTGGGAGGCCTGCAGGGGGTGGGTGCAGAGCTGGTCAGGATAGGCTTAGGGTAGAATCCGAGTCGTGTGTAGTGAGGTGGGGTCCAGTGAGGCCCAGATCCCCACACTCAGTTGTCAAGAGCACTGAACAGGGGCTGAAGGTGGTTCGTTTACTCCCAAGCTCCATGGCTGTGTGACTGCAATCAAACACCAGATTGGTCGGCCAGTTCAGGAACCTCTCTTCTCTTAGATCTACCTAGAGGACATTTCCTCCTTCATTCTCAGAGATTACAGCAAAGATTTGCTGAGAAGCAATGAGGCCTTTCTCCCCATGAAGTAAGAACTATACGAGGTCTACTAGAGTTAAACGCAACAAAATTCTATTCTTTCCCCTGTACTTCACATTCTTCTCACTTATCAGCTGTAGTTGGAGTGATTGTCTAATTTATCATCCAAACTCTTGAGAGTAGGTCGGGGTCCTACTGGCAGTGAGCAGGTGCTTCCTGGGTTTCCTGGTTTAAACAGGATGGGAGGCCACAGCGCCTTGGCACTTTATTCTCCTTCCTCATTTACGTGTTACCTGTCCACATGCTCACTTGGTTGCTCTCTCCCCAGGCCATGACCATGTCTTACGCATCTCCAGATCCTCAGCATTTTCAACAGGATCTAGGACACAGCCCAGGCCCAGCAGACATCTGGAGAGGGAAGGAACTCAAAATTAACTTATGGGCGACCCCCTGGGTGATGTTGAACACATCACTTCAGGGCTTGCTGACTCTGGAAAACAGTCAGTGGACTGCTCACCTCCATGGTCCTCCCAACTGGAGCCCCTCAACTCTTCTTATTTCTGGCAGTCTGTGCCCCCAGGAGTCCTCCTGAGCACTGAGGAGTGGCCTGGGAGTGTCAAGGGAAGCCATGGAGCAGACGGCGAGGAGAGCCGATGCCTGCCCTGTCTTGCCTTGGGAGGACCTGTACACAGCTTTGGGGTTTGAAAGGCAGGAAGGAGAACGAAATGAAGAACACTTTATCTATGCCTTTCTAAAGTATGGGTAGTGACCAAAAAAATTAGGCATGAGCAGAAACCAGGTGGGGCCAAGACCACAGAATAACATGGTGACCAGGAGAGGAAAGGTCTGAGAGAGCTCTTAGGAAGCTCTTCTGGTGGAGCCCTGAGGAGTTCCTGTTCACGAGCAGAGAGCAGCATTTTCTCAGTGACAGCCCTTCTGGGGAACCCTAACTGGAGTCATATTGAATCATGAACTAGATTAGCCACATTAAAGGGTTAGCTACAATGTATTTCACAGTTAAAACACAGGCTGTGGCCGTGGTATCAAAACCTGTAATTTCTGATGCAAATGAATGGAGTGAAAAGTGGCCCCTAGCTACTGGGACAGACAGAAGAATATGTGAGTGAAATAACATGGCAGTTATGTCAAAATTGGAAGAATAACTATATTCCAGAATAGTAAATTATTATCATGGCCTGACTGGTAGAGTAACCCATAAGGCAAGAGATTGTGTTTTTTATTTTATTTTTTCATACCTGGATAAAATTACATTGTCAATTTGGTTTAGTCCCTCTTTAAAACCTGAACATTCATTTTTGAAAATATGTGTGGAACATAAGGTGACATTTGGAAAAAAGCATAATTTTCTAAAAGAATATTGATTCCATTAGTTCTTATATTACAGATGCCAATGAATTTAACTTTTATAGTTCTGCTAACACATGGAAGGCATAAAATGGACGTTCAGCTACCCTGGGTTTTCAACAGCATTTCAGGGAAGCGCCTGAGCTTTATAAAATGTTTGTGGGCACGTACTGTGGCATCAGCTTTCACAGGCACAATCTCGGTAGACACAGAGGGAACTGGAATCTTTAGTTCAGGTCCTAAGATTGTTTCTTGTTGGTTGGGGGTAGCCTTAGGTAAGCTGCATGGTTGTACTGAGCCTCACTTTTCTTATTTTTAGGATGGGGATAATGGTAGCTTCTTCCAGGGTCTAATAAAGATTAAAAGTGAAAATCTGGATATGACATTCAGCTTCACCCTCATACAGACTCTATAAAAAGGACTGTTGATATTATTATTATTTAATCCTTCTTAATTATGGTCCGCATCTTTTGAAATTCATAGTTTCAGGACTGATGCAGGGGATAAAGCAAGTACAGTGAATTCGGTATTTTTGCATATTTAACATGTGCCTGTATCTGAGTTGATTCTGTAGATTGTATGTGTATAATGAGTCAGTCCAGAAGATAGCACTTCTTAAAAATTTTAACCAACTAATCTGATGAAAAATATAGGTATATCTTGTCTTAATTTGTAAAAATATCATTTGGTAAAATCACATCAAAATATCAAAATAAATATAGCCTTTAAAAACTTTTAAACTGTTAATGAGCTTTAACATTGATTTTCTTCTCCCTCTCTCTTTCTTTCTCTCTCTCTTTCTTTCTTTCTTTCTTCCTTTCACCTCTCTCTCTCTTGCGCGTGCTGAGGATTGACCCCAGTATCTTATGAATATTAAACATCTGCTCCACCACTGAGCTACACCCCCAGCCCTTTACCCCAGGTATAATTAGTCATATACACATAGACATGCAATAAATATGTTTATTAATTTGCATATCTATACCAGAAAGCCACAAGCTTAAAGTGCACAATGATGTGGTTAAGAACAAAGCTTTGGAGTTAAACAAACTTGGGCTTGATTCTTGGCTTTTCTTCTTGCTAGCTGTGTGATCTTAGTCTAAGCTGGATGTGCTTCAATTTCTTTATCTAGGAAACAAAAGAAATAACTGCTACAAAATTGCTGTAAGTATTAAGCAAGGTAATGCCTATCAATGCTTGGTGGTGTGTCTGTCACGTGATACAGTCTACGTAAATGGTATCTATTACTTAAAAAGTTAGGGAAGCCCTCAAACTTTAATTTGTTTGGAGAATAGAAATATTTACAAGGCTATTGCATATGTGGAAATCATATAAACACCTTTACAAGATGGTTGAAGGAATGGATATAATTTCAGTACAGTCCATGGGATCTTTTCATTCGCATGACTGAATGGAATTATATACTTGATGTTCCAATACATTTCTTGGTTCCCCATAACCATGGCAAAAAGAAAAGCCAAATGTAATATTGTAAATAATTATACTCTACTTAGAAGAAGTGAAATCAGATAGTTGTTTTTTTTAAGAAACTTTCCTATTTTGGCTACCAATAGGTTTGTGTAGTGTTGGGTTAATACAGGAAACATTAGTTTGGTACAGTGCATTATGATGTTTCTGGCATTTTTCACAACTCTTACTCCAGGAGGAAAGTGTAGGTATGATAAAGAAGTGGGACTTGTATTGGTAAATTTGAAGAAAGCTAGTAAAAAATGTTATGGCCTGAGTGACTGTTTTTATAGACCAATGTATGTATATAGATATGGTTTCCAACCCAAGGATTTGAAAATAGTATAGTCTGTCATTCAGTAATGTGGATTGTGGGTCTTTTATTTCTTTTTTTAAAAACTCTCACATTCAACAAATTTTCTCTGGGTTTCCCCCATGGTAAGTGTAACATGTGGCCGTAACTCAAGTCATGTTCAGCTGACTCTGTGCTTTCAGGGAGCCCATACACTTCAAATTTATGTCAAGGTCCTGAAGCCATCCCCTCTGGCAAGTGTAAAGGGCCTTTGATGTGGTGAGCACAATATCTGTGCAGACAGACTCACTTAACCTATGCTGCACTTTGATTGCACACTTTGGTTGACAGGTAAGGTCCTTTGAACCCACGTACATTGAACGCTAAGTCATATGGAATGATTGGGAAAATGGGACTTGGCAGTGGGTGGATGGCACCCTGGCTCTAAGGCCCATCCCAGAACCCCTGCCCAGGAGACATAAGGACTGCTGCACTGTTGCATTTCCATCAGCTCTATTGGCACACCAGCAGTAGCTCAGAGTCAGTTCTGGATATGCACCATGATTGATGCTGACCTGCACACCTCCCAGATCTGTCTCTCCTTGTTTCCTCAGTGCACTGATTGCCGCTGATATCCACCCAGGAGACCACGTCAAAGCCTTTGGTTCCATTCTTAATTCATGTCCCACCTTCATATTCCAGACTGGCTCATCTTGAAGTTGCTCGGTTTTACCCTCATCCCTTGCTTGGATAATCACTATAGTCTCCCAGATTTCCTGCATAATTCCAGGCTTATTTCATGCCAGTCCTTCTCCATTCTGTAGCCACGATGATATCATAAATCCCTTCCCTGGTTTAAAGTGACCTAATGATTTCTGTTGCTCACTGGAAAAAGAAAGTCCAGACTCTTTGATCTGGCCTCCAAGACTCTAGACCTCAAAGAGCCTCCTGTGTCAGCAATGACCACTTTGCATTTGGTATCAGTGTTGTTTGTTTTAGATGGAACACACTTTTTAGCTTCCTGCCTTGGCTAAATTCGGTCCCTCTTTCAGGGCTCAGCACAGATACAGTTATCACAGGGAAACCTTCTCAGACTGGAACCCTGAACACCAAGCCAAACTGAGGGGCGGAGTCCCTCTTTGCACCCACCATTCACTTCCAGAGTAGGTTTCCTCATGCTAGATTATAATTCCTGTTTCTTTGTTCCTTTCTGTTCTCTGTGAATGCATGCATCCTAGCAGGGAAAAGTTCCAGTAGCTCATAGAGTGGAGCATTTTCAGAAAATCTGTGAATAAATATATTATTTTAAATCTCCTATCCTCCTCTCTCCCTGCCACTAAACACCAAACCCCGATGTATGTTAAGATGTGTCCTGAGTTTGTGTTGGACCTAGGAAGGCTCCTTTCAGAAGAGCCGCTGGAAGTCCAGGTTTTCTTTTTTAATATAATGAAATATTATTAAAAGACTTCAGGGCATGACGTTCCATATCTAGTCCGCAGGTAGTGGAAATGGGGCAGAACTGACGGGCAGCTTCTTGTAGAGAGTCAGCAAGTGAAAAGGTTCTGGGAGTGCGGGTCCCGTGGAAAGCATGTTTTAGGCTGCATCCCTCCCTTCCCAGTTTATGGATCTCTTCTGAAATGCGGTATTGCGGTGGGTGACAAGGGATTTCATTTGTCCTGTGTACTGGTAAGTTTTATTTTTTTATTTTTTATTTTTATTTATTTATTTTCTGGTGCTGGGGATCCAACTTGGGACCTTGCGCTTGTGAGGCAGGTGCCGGAACCACTGAGCTACATCCCCGGCCCTGGTAAGTTTGAAACGTTGTCATGCATGCAAGGCTGGGTAGGCACCGCTGGGACTGTAAAAGAAGACGTTTCCCGGCTTAAAAGATCTTGGAAAGTTGGGAAAATGAGATTGGCATCGAAATTTCATTGAAGAAAAGCCCTGGTTGGATTTATTTAGATGGCTGTGGCAATGAAGGTGTGGACGACCGGTGTTAGGGAAAAGAATCGCACATTTCTCAACCACAGCTCGCCTACCGCTTTTCATAGGAAGTGAGCACCGGAGGAAGCATTTGTGACTCTGCTATTTCTTTGAGAAAAGTTGTAGGACACTGATCAAACTGCTTAATCACACCGACCCTAAACATTCTTATTAAAAATGTGCATAAGGACCTGCATTTACTTTATTAGGTTATCCTCATGTAAAATCACATGTGAGTTAAATGAGTTCATGTAAAGTTGTCTAACATTATGACCATTTCCTTAAACATTGGGGCTCACCATTGACAAGATCTGTTACACGTCTAGGAGTTTGAGGAAAAACTTAGAGGAAAGTCAAGTTTTAAAAGGAAGATTCAAGTATGCAATAGATCCTGCCCAGGATCCAGCAGGCAACAATCGTATGTAAAAAAGAAGAGCAGAATGGAGTGATCGCAAAAAGCAGTTTGGAGAGCATTTCTAGCAGAAACCAGGCATTTGGTGTCTGGTTGCAGGTTGCAGATTTCAAGTCAGGCACTGCTGGGCCTCAGCAATGTAGGAAAGGGGGCGAATACTTACCACTTCTTGAGGGAAGCAAAAATCCCAAGATGACCTCCATTGTCCCACATCTCTGTATAATCCTTTCCCTTAGGTGTATGTGAGACTTGGAAATATGAAGGGATTGCTTTTCCACGATTCTTTTTACTACATGGTTAAAGGGATTTTGCAAACATAATTAAGATCAACTAATCAGTTGACTTATCTTGAGTGGGCCTTATAACTGGTATGTTCTACAAGAGAAAGAAGCAGCAGGAGAATCTCTCCTGTTGGTCTTCAAGAAGGATATCACCACATTTCTAGATGAGAGGACCACATGGCAACGATCTGAAGGCAGGACTTGGGGCTCAGAATGGTCCCTGGCCAACAGTCAACAAGAAAGTGGTAACCTGGATCATATAATCACAATAAAATAAATTCTTTCAACGATGAAAATGTGGAAGAGATCCTGAGTTGAAGGTGAGATCACAGCCCTGGGAAACATCTTGATTTTCCTGAAGACCTGGCTAATACACACCTAGACTCCCAAACTGGGTCATCTGTGAAGAAATAAGTCTGTGCTGCTTTGGGCTACACATTTGTGGTGATTTGTTCTGTAGGAATAGAAAATGAATATGCTTATTCTCCCTAGACTCTACAGCCTTCTGCCACTCCTTAGAGCACCATTCACACTGTTTTGCAATGCTACTTTATGGTTTTGTCTTTTCTCTAGGAAGCTGGTTATGACAGAGAAAACCCTTGCAATCAAGGAGACTTCTCTTCTATATCTTGCTCCATCAACTCATAGTTCTATAATTTTTGTCTTTTTATTCAACCTCTCCAAACAATATCCCTTATTTGTAGAGTGACAGTAATACTCCCACACTGGTGATTCTCAACTTGTACAACTCAGGGCTATGCTTAGTAATTTTAGAGACATTTTTTGGGTTGTCCCAAATAGTTAAAGCAATGCTACTCATGTCTAATAAGTAAAAGCCAAGCATGCTGCTGAATGTTTTATGGTGTACAGGACACCTTGCAATTGCAAATATTTATCTAGCCCAGTGTGTCATAGGACCAAAGCTGAGAAATCTTTCCCTAGACTAATAAAATTATTGTGAAAATGAAAAGCAATTTTAATAGTGTTTTATATCTTTGGAAGACTGGTTATCACTCCCTTACGAGAAGATTCTAAGTTATGAGGGGAGCTTTGCTAAACTGCACATGTGCTGTTTTCTCACAAGATCCTGAGTCTGTCTTTTGCTCCGTTTTCACTCTCCACAGTCATTGCATGCATTGTAGGGTGTTACTGTCGGGAGTTTCTTGTGCAGGAAATAGTCTGAGAACCATTGGTTCCAAAACCTGTTCAGTGCTCAACGTTTCTCTTTCTGAGTTTGCCAATTTTATCTTATCTTTATCACATATCTGAGTGCCTTCCATGC